AGGCTTTGGGGAGTCAGGAGGTGAGTTACTCACTGCAGTATTCCTAGGCTCTGACTCGCTTATGTATGTATTTGTATGATGAGTCCCGTTGAGTTCTGGTTAATGGTAATCCCCAGGATGTTGACAATGGGAGATTCTGTATTAGTAACACCATTGAATGTCAAGAGGTGGCGGTTGGATCATCTCTTATTGGATATGGTCAGTGCCTGGCATTTTTGTGGTGTGAATGTTACTTGCCACTTGTCAGTGTAAGCCTGGATATTGTCTAGATCTTGCAGTATTTGAATATGGACTGTTTCAGTATATGAGTCCTGAATGGTGTTGAACATTGTGCGATCATAGGCAAACACCCTCATTTCTAACCTTATGATGGAGGGAGGGTCGTTGACGAAGCAGCTGAAGATGGTTCAACCTCAGACACTACTCTGAGGAACCCCTGAGAAGATGTCCTGGAGTTGAGGTGACTAACCTGCAGCAATCATACCCATCCTCCTATGCGCCAACCAGCAGAGAGTATTTTCCCAATACCCACTGATTCCAGTTTTGCTAGGGATCCTGGACACCACACTTGGTCAAAGGCAGCCTTGATATCAAGAGCTGTCACTCTTGCTGACCGTTAGAATTCAGTTCTTGTTTGAACCAAGGCTGTAATGAGCTGAGGAGCTGAGTGGCCCTGGCAGAACCCAAACTGGGCATTGCTGAGGAGGTTAGTGCTGAGCAGGTGCTGCTTGATCGAACAGTTGCTGACACCTTCCTATCACTTTACTGATGATTGAGAGTAGACAGACGGGACAGTCATTGGCTGGGTTGGATTTGTCCTGCTTTTTCTAGACAGGATGCAATTCCACAAAATGTTAAATGCTGCAGGGCTGCCTTGATGCCTGGGGATTCATTTCCCATCAACTCTTTGAGAAGTTGGCTGTGATGTCCACCACCCACCATCTGAAATGTCCTACACATCGTAATCTTCCAGAATATAGATGTTGGCTTTCTTTTTTCTCTCTTATGCCCTGTTACCTTGCCTCCGATAACTCATTTACCATCTTCTTTCTTGACTCTGCACATCCTTTCCCAGTGATTGGATTTTCCACAGCTGTACCATTTGATCATGTACTGGACATTTTCCCCAGTCCGAACTCACTCAAGTGATCATCCACACATCTTTCTCTCCATCAGTGCATTTCTTTAGCTGTTTCATCAACCTTGCTGATTTGCTCTTGCCTTAACTGAAGATTATCCATTTGGGCAGCTAGAGTCTTTGCCTGCCTACTTATGGTTACATGTACTCTGGTACTGTTGACAGCCTGCGATATTGTGAGCTTGTCCTTTTCAATCAAATCTTTTTTGTACTTCAGGGTGTGCAGAACATTAACTGAGCTGATTTAGCATCTGTTTCCTTGAATTTACATTTTCTTTCTGCCTTTTTCCATTCTGTCAGGAAATTGTCAACAGGCAGATCTCATTCCTGCCTCAGGCTTTGAAATTCATATCAGTGGTTCTAAAGATTTGACTTTAGCTCGATGCTTGAGTTAATTTTATTAAAAGTTATATCTGCACTATTGCTGATTTCTTCACTTTATTCTCAGTGATTAAACAAACTTTACTCTTTCTCTGCTGCTGACAAAAGGATGTAGCTGACCCTTTCCTGTTCACTAGTGCCTTTTTTGAAAGCTACTGAATGTCAGTTTGCGCTTTTGTTTAAATTTATCAAATGCCTTTTTGACATCATTAGCTTTGCAATTCATCAGTGACTGGAGCTGTGTGTCCTTTGCTGCAGTGGTGGCCATTTTATTTTCACACAATTTATTCAATTTGCCTCTTTCTTGACGTTAAGTTTGGTTGCTATTTTTTCAGTCTAATTCAACATTACATCCAGTTCAATATTTAAGTCACATTCACTGCCATATATTGCAACCATGTCATATCTTCTGGTCACCATAAATTTGAAATGATTACGTCTAGATTCTAAATGCTGGAGTTTATGTTTTTCTGAGAGCTTAGCCCACTGGCTGGTGGGACTGATACATGTGTTTGGCACAGGGTTTTGTGTAACCACAATGAGGCACCCCCTATTTACATTTGCATAACAATTTGCTTCCTTCCTTTTTACAAATAATTTAATAATAGAACAATGAGAAATTGGCAATGGCATGTGAAAATTTGGTCTTGGTATTTGCTTGATTGGCAGCTTCAAGGGGAAGGTTACTACTCCATTTAAGTTTCTCCATTTTGATTTCCATCCTTCTCACAGTGCTGAAGCAGCTCTATCCATTAGGAATCGTGATCTCAATCTGTGAAACACTATTTCTCTTTGTCCTTCCTCGCCCTACTAGAATGATTGAACACTCTGTAGTATACAACTAATTTTCAACTTGCCGCAGATATTTGTTTGATATTGTTGTTTAAAAG